CACACTAGTTGTTAATAAATCCTCTAAGGAAAACTTTCAGGGAACTATAGAAAAACATTCTCAGAACCTTCCTGCAACCTAAAAATGAACGTTTCCATAACAGGCAAAATGTTCACTTCTGTTCTCAGAACGTTTAGCAACTTTCTGTTTTAAAATTTAGGAAACTTTTGGCTTTATTACCTGAACCAAAAACATAGGTTCCCACAACTTCCAAGGAACCAAATGTGCTATCTGGGCTAACAGCCATAGCAGCAATAATGTAGCAGGGCCTTATTCACAGTGGACATTGCACCAGGCAAAGATATTTATCCTATGCTAACCAAGAGATGTTGACCAAAACATTCCCCTCGTCTGGAGTTACCAGTTAAATAACATGTTACCACTGTATAGGTACTGTGATTCTATTCTTTCTGTTGGTCGATTTAGTTGTGAATGTTTGTTGTCCTTATGTTTTGATATTGAGGAGAACAGTACTGCCATAATAGTACTGGATCATTCCACATTATACTGTGAACATTAAATACTTTAACTTTACTAGTCTTTGTTGGCTTCTACTTCACGTTGCCTGCTCAACCCCAACCCAAACCTCTCAGTTTCCACCTCTTAACATTTGGATCAGTGAGTAGGCCAAGTGAATAATGCCTGGTAAGGAAACCAATGTGTCATTTTGTAATTTGGGTGAACTATCCCTTTAACTTCGCCTACCAATTTTTAAAAACATTTTAGTCATTTAGCAGACGCTCTTATCCAGAGCGACTTACAGTTAGTGAGTGCATACATTTTCATACTGCCCCCCCGTGGGAAACAAACCCACAACCCTGGCGTTGCAAGCACCATGCTCTACCAACTGAGCTACAGGGGACTACCAATGGCACTGCTCTTGAAGAGTGAAACTAGGCTTACTCCTAAGGAATGTCATTCACATACCAATACAAAACCGGAATGGGCACTTTGCTCTCTGACAAACTGGATTTGGCTAAGAGTAACAGCACAGATTCTGACAGAGAGGAGTTTGTATCCGAGACGATAACACTGTTGTCTGGTCTCCGTGGAGATGGCCTGTGGACTGGTTTCCATGACATTAAGGGGTCTGGTGTCGGTGGTGATTCTGCTGTGGACTGTCACATCCACAGATGGGGGAGGTGAGTAACAGCCATCATCAGTCTGTCTTAGTTCATCTGTCTTTACCTTCTTCTATCTGTCTCAAAATATTACATTCCAAAATAACTCCTACGTAGTCCAAGTCCCTAGGCACACCTTTGGCTCTAGTGTAGCATGAGCATTAAATAGTTGTAAGCATTGTGGTGAAAACTCTACCTAGCTAGATTACCATAGCAGACTCAATATCATAGGAAAATGACCATATAGCTGTAAAACAAGCTTCACTGAAACATGAATTACCATAGATCATAAACATGTTGGTCATTACAGAAGACTGCCAAATTGATTCAAGAGCAGACTTTTCCTGTTGTGTGTAGTGATCTGTGGCCACTTCCACTCTAAGGCCAAGTGTTATACACTGATTATACCAATTTGGCCAGTAAACCCCCGTTTTGCCATCAGAACAGCCTCAATTCGTCGGGGCATGGACTCTACAAGGTGTCGAAAGCATTCCAAAGGGATGCTGGCCAATGTAGACTCCAATGCTTCCCACAGTTGTGTCAAGTTGGCTGGATGTCCTTTGGGTGGTGGACCATTCTTGATAAACACTGGAAACTGTTGAGCATGAAAAACCCAGCCACGTTGCAGTTCTTGACACAAACCGCTGCGCCTGGCACTTACTACCATACTTTGTTCAAAGGCACTTAAATATTTTGTCTTGCCCAGTCACCCTCTGACTGGCACACATACACAATCCATGTCTCAATTGTCTCAATGCTTAAAAATCCTTCTTTAAACCTGTCTCCTCCCCTTCATCTACACTGATTGAAGTGGATTTAACAAGTGACATCGATAAGGGATCAATAAGCTTTCATCAATAAGTTTTCACCTGTATTCACCTGATCAGTCTATGACATGGAAAGAGCAGGTGTCCTTAATGTTTGGAATCCTCAGTGTATATTAATCATCCTGTGGTCATGTGAAGGACTATGAGGTCTCATCAAAGTCTCTGTGATTGTTTGAACAACTTTATAGGATGAATCAGTGATTCAACTTAACAGATGGGTCAGGCTAAGACGGTTTAACAACGTAAATGTTTGCTGAATGGGTGTGTGGTATGATTAGGGGCATGAAGGAAGTGTATTAGTTCAGGTCTGACTGGAGTCTTTACTTTAGATTGTGATTTTAGTTAGAAGTTAGGTGCTGTCGGTGTGGAGGGGGGTGGGTGGAGGACAGAGGAGGACCACAATGACAGATTAGACTCAGGTTAATATTAACAATATTAACAATATTAACAATAATAACAGGTTAATAACACTCTGATATAAACCAAGGGCCTACTCACTTTACCAAGGTATCTGACTAATGGGGAGTATAGGAGTCTGTGTTTGAATCCCATCTTGTCCAGATGCTCATTTAACGTGTGTGTTTATTCTCTTGCAGACATCCATGTAACCTGTCTGTTCTCAGAGGATTGTGTCCTGGCCTGCAGCTTCCAGCCTGGCAGTGAGTTAGTCATCCACTGGCTGAAACCAGAAGACAAGGACCTGAATGTCCACTCCTACTACTACAGTACAGATCAGCTCGAACAGCAGAGCCAGCGTTACAGAGGGAGAACAGCCCTGTTCAATGACCAGATCCCCAAAGGAAACGCTTCATTACTGCTGAGAGGACTCACACTCCAGGACCAGGGCAGATACAAGTGTTACACCAGCACTATTAAAGACCACAAGGAGTCCTTCATTAACATGGCAGTGGAGGGTACGGAATGTCTGTCTGTCTGTCTGTCTGTGATGATCACTTTATGGCTGCTCCATGTGTAATGTCTACTTTGTTGCAGCTCCAGTCCGCTTGGTGGACATACAGTTATCAGATGACATCATCACCTGCAATTCTACAGGTATCTACCCTGAGCCTAAACTCACCTGGTCCACTGACCCCCCCTCTGACCTTTCATTTGACCCTGGAACCATCCAGAACTCCACCAGCACCAAGGTGGATGACGGGGGCCTCTATGACATCACCAGCACAAAACAGTTTATCAGAGACCGAACCAACATCTGTAATGTGACCTCTGGGACAGTAGAAAGGACAGCAACCCTGAAACAGCAAGGTAATCAATTGATCAACCTATTAATCAAACAATTTATAAATCAATGAATAAATTCATCAATCAATGTTTTTGGCTATAAACTCTACAAAAACAAGACAACATTGTGAGACAGAATATGCAACGATCAATCAAAAAAGGCACTTTCTCATGACATAATTTCAGATCCGGTCCAGGGTTCTCCAAGCAGTGAAGTGTCCATCCCCTGCAGCGTCTCTCAGTCTGACCTCAAGACCTTTAACCTCACCTGGAGGTTCAACCAGATAGACACCATCCTCAATTCTACCTACACCAAGGGTACATCTCAGATGTATATTGATGACCAGTGGAAGGAGCAGGTTCAGAATTTGTCTGACTCTGGCAGCCTTCAGCTCCACAAGCTAACCATGGTCTACCAGGGAATCTACAGCTGTGAACTATCTACTGCCAGAGACTCACACCTGGTCCTCACCTACCTGGAGATCACACCTGATAAACCATCTGATGGTACAAAGTTTACTTTTACTATTTACCCTCACTGTAAGTCACATGATCACATTCAACAATAAAACTGCAACTCTGTATTTTCTCCTTCAGTTTCAGATGGACTGAGTCCAGGTTCAATCACTGGTATAACAATAGCAGCAGTAGCAGCAGTGATTATAGCAGCAGTGATATGTCACCTGCTGAGAGGTAAGTTATGATGATGATGACATCATAATCTGTTGAACCATTTAACATAACCACCTCCTGATGGACAGAGAGGAGGGTTACATTGGTGGCTTTTGATGAACAGCTTTCAGATTCTGCTATTTTGCTGTCTCCCATGTCATAGTTTTCTGCCCCCAATGCCGAAGTTCTGCCCCCAGTGCCACAGGTAGACGTCCATGGAATATTCATGTCTTTCTTGTTACATGCATTTACTCATACTAGCGGTTTGTGTGTCTGAATCCTGCTAACTCACCATAAACTCACCTATCTCCCTCCAGCAAATACAAAAGGTCAAAATGAAAACGTTGAGAGTGGAATACCACTTCAGAATGGAGAAGAAAGAGAGAAAAATATAGAAAGACAAGAACAAGAACAAGGTCAAGGAGAAGAGGGGTCAGCCACATTAACCGCAAGCTTAAATGTAACCTAAAATGTAATCTATGTAATCCCTGAAAGTAATTATTTATCATGAGAGGACCATAAACAATAACTAGTAATGCTGCATACTCCAAGACAGTGGCGTGTTTTCATGGATGCCAAGGGAAGCCAGGCTTCTTCCAAAAATTTACCAATAACAAATATTTAAAAATAATAATAAAATAAAAACATCTTTAGTTTCTCTCTGTTTCATAATCTTCCTTAAATTCGCAAGAGGCTGAATGTATCTCAACTGAGAAAGCATCCAAGCGAGTGAAACAGCGCCCCTCTGTCTCTGTATGTGTAGCCCATCTATCTGATGCTGTCTGGTCAAAAAGAGTATCATATTGTTGCCGCTCTTAGCATTGAATGCAAGGGAAGACAGAGAGAATTTGGCCTCCCTTGATAAAAAAAAGTATAAAATAATAGCCAATCAGCATTGAGCTAAATTGAGCGAGCTCAACTCTGAATGGTCCTGGCAAACCAAAAGAAAGTGTCAAGGGAAGCCAATTTCAATTTGGCTTCACACCAATCACATGTACAGTGGGGAGAACAAGTATTTGATACACTGCCGATTTTGCAGGTTTTCCTACTTACAAAGCATGTAGAGGTCTGTAATTTTTATCATAGGTACACTTCAACTGTGAGAGATGGAATCTAAAACAAAAATCCAGAAAATCACATTGTATGATTTTTAAGTAATTAATTTGCTTTTTATTGCATGACATAAGTATTTGATCACCTACCAACCAGTAAGAATTCCGACTCTCACAGACCTGTTAGTTTTTCTTTAAGAAGCCCTCCTGTTCTCCACTCATTACCTCTATTAACTGCACCTGTTTGAACTCGTTACCTGTATAAAAGACACCTGTCCACACACTCAATCAAACAGACTCCAACCTCTCCACAATGGCCAAGACCAGAGAGCTGTGTAAGGACATCAGGGATACAATTGTAGACCTGCACAAGGCTGGGATGGGCTACAGGACAATAGGCAAGCAGCTTGGTGAGAATGCAACAACTGTTGGCGCAATTATTAGAAAATGGAAGAAGTTCAAGATGACGGTCAATCACCCTCGGTCTGGGGCTCCATGCAAGATCTCACCTTGTGGGGCATCAATGATCATGAGGAAGGTGAGGGATCAGCCCAGAACTACACGGCAGGACCTGGTCAATGACCTGAAGAGAGCTGGGACCACAGTCTCAAAGACAACCATTAGTAACACACTACGCCGTCATGGATTAAAATCCTGCAGCGCACGCAAGGTCCCCCTGCTCAAGCCAGCGCATGTCCAGGCCCGTCTGAAGTTTGCCAATGACCATCTGGATGATCCAGAGGAGGAATGGGAGAAGGTCATGTGGTCTGATCAGACAAAAATATAGTTTTTTGGTCTAAACTCCACTCGCCGTATTTGGAGGAAGAAGAAGGATGAGTACAACCCCAAGAACACCATCCCAACCGTGAAGCATGGAGGTGGAAACATCATTCTTTGGGGATGCTTTTCTGCAAAGAGGACAGGACGACTGCACCGTATTGAGGGGAGGATGGATGGGGCCATGTATCGCGAGATCTTGGCCATTAACCTCCTTCCCTCAGTAAGAGCATTGAAGATGGGTCGTGGCTGGGTCTTCAAGCATGACAACGACTCGAAACACACAGCCAGGGCAACTAAGGAGTGGCTCCGTAAGAAGCATCTCAAGGTCCTGGAGTGGCCTAGCCAGTCTCCAGACCTGAACCCAATAGAAAATCTTTGGAGGGAGCTGAAAGTCCGTATTGCCCAGCGACAGCCCCGAAACCTGAAGGATCTGGAGAAGGTCTGTACGGAGGAGTGGGCCAAAATCCCTGCTGCAGTGTGTGCAAACCTGGTCAAGACCTACAGGAAACGTATGATCTCTGTAATTGCAAACTAAGGTTTCTGTACCAAATATTAAGTTCTGCTTTTCTGATGTATCAAATACTTATGTCATGCAATAAAATGCAAATTAATTACTTCAAAATCATACAATGTGATTTTCTGGATTTTTGTTTTAGATTCCGCATCTCACAGTTGAATTGTACCTATGATACAAATTACAGACCTCTACATGCTTTGTAAGTAGGAAAACCTGCAAAATCGGCAGTGTATCAAATACTTGTTCTCCCCACTGTATGTCCACCAAGCCAAACTTCATTGACAGAAAAAACATGAATTGTTGCATCTCTTTGTGTTGTTGTCCTCAGCTGGCTAGCTAGCTAGCTAAAATTGTCCCTTTCCTAAATTAGCCATGAATGGAGATAGGGATTTGGACTTGTGGTTTTACTTAATTCTCCGTACTGGCGAATGATTATAATGGCGATTCTGATTCAACCATAAATTCATACATTGTGCCCCTGGCCTGATGTAGTAGGCTAATGTTAACTAGCTGGTTCATCGTTGCCCATGAAAGGAAGTTAGGCTAGCGAGCTAGCATTTTAGCCAGGTAGCCTAGGACAACAAAAACTAAAAGCATATACTGTATGACAGAGTCATAGACCATTGAAAGAGAGGAGGATGGCATTGGTGTTTCTCTACAAGTAGGTTGAGTTAACATGTTTTTTTCTACATGCAAGCACGCACACACATTCACACACACACACACACACACACACACACAGAAATCAGTACCGTGGACAGCCATATCATATTTAGCTTATGTTGATTGGGCTAAATTGTTTTTGGTGTCTTTTAGTTGTCACTGTATTAGACTAATTATTGGTGATTTGATGATGTTGAAATGTTGAGGTTGAAATGGTGCTGGAATAGTGGAGGCAGCTTCTTTTTTCTTAGCGACTTGCAGTAGCCTAACTCTCCATGGTTCTAAATCAACAGTTGCTTAGTTGTCCGAAAATGTCGGAAACATTAACTTGCTTGACCATGCAATATGCTTTGTGGACTTCACTGGACAGAGGTTGCTCTCCGATTTTACCCACGCACCACTACCGCTACAAGAAAGGTTAAAAATCTCACCTTTCTGGTAAAAATAGTTATAAATTGTTGAGGTGTAGTAACTTTTGAGGACACAAGCTCAAGTACACAGTACAAATATGACGAAAATATGAAATATTTTATATGACGTATTTGCTGTTTAAAAAAACGGTATGAATAAAGGCTTGGAATGACTTATATGCTTTGTAAATATAGTATAGTCAAATTATAAAACCACTACCTATAATATTTCACCTTCCTTATAACTGTAAAATACATATTTGTATGTTTAGTGTTAGAGAAAATGCGCCTTTCATCTCATATTAATATTGTCCATCTATGACAAACAGAAAGTGTTTTGTTTCAAATGGATTCATTATTTTAGATGAATGGCTATAAATCGATCTCTGAATGTGCAATAGTGATGAATAGTGTCTCTCTCTGGCGGGAGGTAAGCTTGGCTTATATGGCTTATATACATAGTTTGGGCTTTGTCGAGTAAAGCTCAAACTATGTATTTAGATTGTAGTTAGGTATTGTAGGTAGTTATAATAATAATAATAATAATAATAATAATAATATGCCATTTAGCAGACGCTTTTATCCAAAGCGACTTACAGTCATGCGTGCATACATTTTTGTGTATGGGTGGTCCCGGGGATCGAACCCACTACCTTGGCGTTACAAGCGCCGTGCTCTACCAGTTGAGCTACAGAGGACCAGGTTATCGTGGGTTGTTGTATGTAATTATTGTAGGTTAGTATTGTATTCGGCTGAGCCCGGTGAAGCACGAAGCTAGCTAACCCACTACCTGGACTAGCTAGCCGGTGGGTAGCTGCTGGTAAGTATTAGCAACTGTGGATAGTTGTTTCACGCCTGAGAGTACCTGTAATTACGCCAGCTAGCTGCCTACAATAATTACATACAATAATGCCTACCATTCAGCTGTTTTTCTAACCTCATTGTCTGACGCGTTAACGTTAGGTAGTAAGTGGCTACTGTGCTTGAAATTTAGCTAGGTTTTTGCTACCTGGATGGCTACTAAACAATAGCTGGAACGACCTAGCGAACAGACGCAAACTGGCTGAGTCAATTCAGTGGCTAGCTTTGCACTTGGCTAGCTAACAGTAGCTGCTAGGGGTAAGTTATAACCTACATTTGTGTTTTGTTTTTACATACTGGTAGCCAGAGTCGTTCAAGGGAATTCGGGACATGGGTGACTAGTTAACGTTAGCTTGGCTCTCTCTGTGTGTTCGTGCCGTGGGAGGAGGGGTTTCTTCGTTGTCTGAAAGCAATGGCTAGCTAGTATGCTAACTATTCTAGCTAACTAACTGGCTGAATAAATTGACGACGGACTCGCTCAAGCTGTCGGGACTAACTCACAACGTTAGACACGGACACGAATGATCTGCTTGGCGTGTTGACACACTGGTGGTTTGTTGTGGCCGAGTATTGGTGCTAAACCGTGTTGTTGGAGTCCGGCATGCTAGTTGGCTGTGACGTCATATGACTAGGTGCCCTGGACGATTTTCACGGAAGAATACTGTACCAAGTTAGCTAGCTGAATAAACTAAGTTAGTCTATTCCTAGAAAACATTGAACCGCTGTAGTTTACATCAATTATAGTTTCTGAGGTGGAAGTTGGGAGAGTTATATTTGGGTGTTTCAGTGAAACGTAAGTGAGGGAGGCCCCGCTCTCTCCTTTCCCAGATGTTTAGTTCATTTCATTCCGATCTCCTTTGCATTATTGTAGCCATTTTCTGTAGCCTGTCAACTATGCCTCTG